TTTTCTCCAATTGCAGTTCAGTTTGGGTGTGTTTGCTTCCCTGTCTTCTAATTCGCTAATTTGGTCCTCCACTTCTCCTAGTCTACTGTTGAAACTTTCCATGGTGTTTTTTATTGCAGCTATATCACTCTTTATTTCTTCTTGATTCTTACATAAGGTGTTGATTTTTTTCATCCTTTTAGCTTATGAACTATATGACCCTTATTCTGAATTCTTTTTCTGACATACTGCATGCCTCCATTTTACTTAGCTGCTTTTCTGGCAATTTTGCCTTTTCTTTCCTTTGGGGATTTCTTTGTCTTCACATTTTTGCTCCCACTGTAGAATCTAGGTGTTGAGTTGAGCAGGGGCTGCTCCTCGGGTGGCAGCGGCTCCTCGGGCGGCAGCTGCTCCTCGGGCGATTGTGGCAGTGGCTGCTCTTCAGTTGGCAGTGACTCCTCTGGTGGTGCTGCTCGCAGCAGTCGTGGCTCCTTTGGCTGGTGGGGGCAGCCTGCTTGTGCAGTTGCTGCTCCTCATATGGGGACGGGCTGCTCACAAAGGTTCTGCTCCTCAGACGGGGGTAGGCTGTGTGTGGCTGCTGCTCCTTTGATGGGGTTGGGCTGCTTGCAGTGCTGCTACTCCTTGGACTGCAGCTGCTCTCAGGGCTGCTGCTCCTTGGATGGGGCCAGGCTGCTCCTCAGATGGGGTGGCTGCTCGCAGAGCTGCTGCTTCTTGGGCGGGGGCAGGCTGGTCGCACGGCTGCCACTCCTCAGACATGGGTGGGCTGCTTGCCTGGAGACTACAGAGAAGGGCTATCTCTTCAGGAGAAAATGGCTGCCTAGGTTGGACATGTCAGGTATGACTCAGCACCAGACTCACAGGAACCTCTTCCCGACACTCTCTTCTCACCAGCCTCTCCCCAGATTCCACAAGTCCACACCTTCATCTACACCTCAGCCACTGGTGAGTGTCTGTATTTGACAGGTCCCAAAAACTAGGTTTAGCAAACAAAAGCAAAGACCGAAAAGAGGGGAAAGAGCTGCGCCATGCGAGCCCCTCTCTTCCCAGCATGGAGAGGCCTGGGCAGCCGTCCAGGCTGCCTCCTCTGGGCTCAATCTCTCTTGGCTATGGACCCAGATCTAGAATCCCCTGCCACCAGCAGTCCTGCAGACCTCCTTTCCACAGTCAGTTGCTATGCCTGTCCCAAGGGATGCAGCCTCTGTGCCATGTGGTTTCCCTCTGATCCTCTGGGCTTGGAGGTCTTGCAGTTTTCTCCAGCCCAGATTCCTAATTTTACTTGTTCTCCCGGTGTCCTCCGCCTTTACTGGCTGTGAATTGTCTCACCAGCTGTGTCTACTTTGCCAATTCAGAGTAGATGTTATTCAATTTAGTTGCTTATTCTATCTCAGTGATGGTATACCTATGACACACGTGTCAGAGGTGACACGCAAACTCATTTTTTGGTTGATTTTTCTTTGTTAAATGGCATTTAAATATATAAAATAATTATCAAAAATATAAGTCTTTGTTTTACTATGGTTGCAAATATCAAAAAATTTCTATATGAGACACGGCACTAGAGTTAAGTTAGGGTTTTTCAAAATGCTGACACGTTGAGCTCAAAAGGTTTGCCATCACTGTTTTATCTGCTCTGGGACAAGGCTCAGGACACATCCATCTATTCCACCACCATTTTGTATCCTCCAATTGTTGATTTTTCAAATGCTTTTGCTGCATCTATTGAAATGATCTTGTGCTTTATCTTTTCTATTCTTTTGATATGGTGAATCATATTGATTGGTTTTCAAATGCTGAACTAGACTTGTATTCCTATGACACACCCCACTTGTAATGATGTATGTATTATCTTTTTATAAAAATGGATTCCACTTGCTAGAAATTTGTTGAAGGTGTTTATGTCTAGGAAAATTAGTCTGTAGGAATATTGGTCTGTAGTTTACTTTTCTTGCAATGTCTTTGTCAGGTTTGGGGATCAGTGTCATTACTAGCCTTATAAAATGAATTTTTGGAAGTGTCTCCCACTCTTCTAATTTCTGAAACACCTTTGAAATATGCCATTGGTATTTTAATAGGTATTGCATTGGTTTTATTCCAATTGGTTTTATTTCTTCCTTTAATGTTTTGGTAGAATTCACCAGTATAGCCATCTGCTCCTGGATTATTTGTTATTGAATGGTTTGTACCCATAAATACAATTTCTTTTACAGATATAGGGCTATTCAAATTATTTATTTCATATTGGATGAATTGAGGTAATTTGTGTTCTCTCAAATTTGGTCTATTTTATCTAAGTTGTCAACTTTATACACGTGGAGTTGTTTTACAGTTTCCTTATTATCATTTTGATGTTTGTAGGGTCTGTAGTGATATCTTCTTATTCATTCTTGATATTGGCGATTTGTTTCTTCTCTCTTTTTTCTTTGTCAGTTTTGCTGGAGGTTTGTCAATTTTACTAATATATATTTCAAAGAGCCAGTTTTTTGTTTCATTGATTTTCTCTACTGTTTTTCCATTTAAAATTTCATTGATTTCTGCTCTTTTCATAAATATTTTCTTCTATCTGCCTGCTTTCAATTTGATTTGCTCTTCTTTTTTAAATTTTATTTTATTGTTTAAAGTATTACAGATAGTAGTACATATGCCCCCCTTTCTATTCTTTGCTGGAAGATTTTTTATTGCTGTTTCAATTTCTTTGGTAGTTATCTTCCTATTCAGGTTTTTTGACTCTTCTTGGTTGAGTTTTGGGAGCTTGTATTTTTCTAAGAATATGTCCATTTCATTTAGGTTATCCATTTTGTTGGAATAGAGTTGTTCATAGTATTTTTTCATAATCGTTTGTTTTTCTGTGGGATCGGTTGTTATTTCACTTCTTTTATTTCTGAATTGGTTTATTTGGGTCCTCTCTCTTTGCTTCTTGGTGAGCCTGTCTACAGGTTCATCAATCTTGTTTATCCTTTCAAAGAACCAACTCTTGGTTTTATTGATCTTTCGTATTGTTTTTTTTTTTTTTTTTGGTCTCTATGTCATTTATTTCTGCTCTGATCTTTATTATTTTCTTCCTTCTGCTTACAATGGGCTCTTCTTGTTGTTCTCTTTCTAACTCTTTGAGTTGTAGGGTTAAATAATTTATTACCATTGTTTCTTGTTTTTTGAGGCAGGCCTGTAGAACTATGAACTTCCCTCTCAAGACTGCTTTCACTGTGTCATATAGATTTTGGATTGTTGTGTTTTATTGTCATTTGTTGCCATGATGTTTTTTTAGTTCTTCCTTGATCTCTCTGGTAACCCAATCACTGTTTAATAGCATGCTATTTATCCTCCAGGTGTTTGATTTTTTTATTGTTTTTTATTGTAGTTGATTTCTAGTTTTATATATTTTGGTGCTCCTGTATTGGGTGCGTATATGTCTACTGGAGTTATATTTTCTTGTTGGATTGCTCCCTTTAGTATTATGAAGGTGGCTTCGGGTGAAATGTTCTGAAGATGTCAATTAATTCAATCTGACCTAGTGCATCATTTAGTATTGATGTTTCTTTGCTGATTTTTTATTTAGAGGATTTGTCCAATGGTGATAGTGGGGTATTAAAGTCCACTACTATGACTATATTGCTATCAATCTCTCCTTTGATATCCTCCAGAAGTTTTTTTATATATTTTGGTGCTCCTGTATTGGGTGTGTATATGTCTACTGGAGTTATATTTTCTTGTTGGATTGCTCCCTTTAGTATTATGAAGTGGCCTTCCTTATCTCGTGTTATGTCCTTCACTTGGAGATCTAATTTGCCTGATGTAAGTATTGCTACCCCAGCTTATTTTTTCATTTCCATTCGCCTGAAAAACCTTTTGCCCTCCCTTCACCATCAGTCTGTGTACGTCTTTTTTTCTTAGGCGGGTTTCCTGTAGACAGCAGATATATGGGTCATTTTTCTTATCCACTCAGTTACCCTCTGTCTTTTGATTGGGGCATTTAATCCATTAACATTTAAAGTTATTATTGATAGGTACTTGTTGTCACCATTTTTATTCTTTATACCTGTGTTCCTTCTTCATTTCCTATTTCTTATTTTTACAGCAGACCCTTTGGGATTCCTTGCATTGCTGGTTTGGTGGTAATAAAATCCCTTAGTCCTTTTTTGTCTTTGAAGCTCCTGATTTCCCCCTCAAATTTTTATTGATAGCCTTTCTGGGTATAGTATTCTTGGATTTAGACTCTTCCTTTGCATGACTTTGTATACTTCACTCCATTCCCTTCTTGCCTGATGTGTTTCTGTTGAGAAATCAGTCACTAGTCTGATGGGGGATCCTTTGTAGGTAACTTTCTGACTCTCTCTGGCCACTTTTAAGATTCTCACTTTGTCATTGGTGTTTGCCAATTTAATTATAATGTGCCTTGGCATCAGTCTATTGGGGTTCATTTTGTTTGGGTCTCTGAGCTTCTTGGATTTGTGTGAGTTTTTTCTTCCCTGTATCAGGGAAGTTTTCTGTCATTATTTCTTCAAGCATGTTTTCTATGCCTTGCTCGTTTTCTTTTCCTTCCTGCTCCCTGATTATGTGGATATTGTGTCGTTTCATGTTGTCCCAAAGTTCCCTTAGGCTCTCCTCCAGTTTTTTAAGTTTTTTTCTAGGTACTGCTTTTCTTGGGTATTTTTTCCTACCTTGTCTTCTAGCTCACTGATGTGGTCCACTGCTTCTTCTAGTCTACTGTTGATGTTTTCTATTGAGTTCTTTATAGTAGTGATGTCAATTTCATTTCCTCTTGGTTCTTACACATATTGTTGAATTTGTCTTCCATTCTTTTCAGCCACCTTATGACCATTTCTCTGAATTCTTTCTCTTACATATTGCTTGCCTCCTTTTTGTTTACTTACTTTTCTGGTGATGTCTCCTTTTCTTTCATTTGTGGGCTGTTTCTTTGTCTCCCCATTATCTCTCTTCTCCAGGTTTCTGGTTATGTAACTCTCTCTCTCTCTCTCCTGTGTTGATTTAAAGGCATAAAATACAACACAACAAGGCACAAGGCACTGAACACAAATGTATTCATGATACTAATAACTCCAAGTAAAGGTGACCACCCGAGAAAAGAGAATTAGGGGATAAGAAAAGAAAAAATAGTGCAAAAATGACATTGAGAAAAGGAAAAAATGTAAGTGAGAGAAGAAAGAGAATACAAAAGGGGGGGAAACTATTTATATGGGTTGAAAACTCCAGTAGAACAACAACTAATCCCAAAAAATGCAAACAACAAACACCCAGAATGAATGCAAACTACAAACAACAACTAATAACAAGTGAGGAGAGGAAAAACAAAAGCAAAAAATAAAGACAAAAACAAAAACAAAAAAAATAAAAAAGGGAAACAATCTCACAAACAAGCAAGAAGAAAAATAATCTAATCAACAATCAAGCAAACCAGAACAAGAGGACAGGGAGAAAGCAAGGCAAAACAGAACAAAATGAAACCAAAAAAATATAGTACAAAAACAATAATAATAATAACAACAACAGAACAAAACAAAAAGGAAAGAGAGAAAAAAATTGGTAGTGAAGAATGCGAAGGGAGAAGTGTGTATGGTCTTGGAGCAGGGGATTGGAAATTAGATTTATAAGTAGGATGAATTTTTAACAGGTGGTAAAAAGAAGGAATAGGGGAAATCGAACGCAAAAATAGGGTAAGAGAACAGGACAACAAGAGGGGAAAAGTGAGGGATGGAGTGTTGGCATAAAGGTAAAGTTGAGATAGAGTAGAATGATGCTAAAGGAAAAATGAAAATGGAATGTAAACCATTAATCCCAAAATAAAATAAAGAGAAAATAAAATGACATTTTTTAAAAGGTTACAATAGTATTAGTAATAATACTAATCAAAAATAAAAATATAATAATTAAAAAGGTAAAATAAAGTGAGGAAAAAAAGAAAAAATAATTTCTTAAGTAAAGGGTAAAAAAATAAAAATGTATAGTAGTGAAGGTCATTTACTTCCTCTACTCTTCTGTTTGGCACATTTTTCCTGTCAGGTAGTCAGGACAGTATTGAAGTTCCCTGCGATACACTGCTCCTATGTGATGTAAACCACAGTCTTGATTTTAAAGCAGGCAGTATCTCTTTGTTTCCCAGACTGCCTTTATTTGTATTTACAGAAGAGTCAATTTGTGATTCAGTCCCTGGGTAGCAGTGTTTCTGGATTGACCTCTGGGGCTATAAATCCTCTCTAGCCAGTATTTAGGGTTTTTTTCCCTGTTGCACTTAATACTGGTTTGGGAGAATCAATTGCCCCAGAGCTGGTTCCCCGATCGTTACTCCCTGCTCTGATCCCCAGGTTCCACAAAAACAACTTTCCCCTGCAGTCTCTGTGAGTGTCCCCAATTGGGTGATTCCATGTATTGGGTTAGTAATCAAAAGCAAGGATTTAAAGAGAAAAAAAGAGCTAAAGTAAGTGCACAAGCTCACAACTTTTACCGTCCAGCACTGTGCGCAATTCTCCAAATTTCCCCTGGCACTAAGCAGCTGGCACACTGGTAAAATCCGAGGCAGCCTTTTTGCGCCCAGTCCTGCTATGAGCTGATTTTTAGAGTTCCCTTCTGCCAGCAACCCTGGCAGAAACCCTTCCACACTCACTGATCACGCTGGCCCCAACGGCCGCGGACTTTGTGGGGGCACATACTTCTTTGCACGCGTTTCTCTCTCCAACCTGGATTGCAGACCTCACCTTTCCCTAGGCAAAATCTGACCTTTCCGTGAGGAGGAGCAGGACTTGTCTGAGTCCTCGAATTTGCGCTGCTTGAGATCCCGTGTTCCTGGATTCGTAGCTGGTCCCTGGGTGCCATGGTTTCAGGGTCCCTGGACGTATATACACTTCTGATAACAGCCACTCTTCCCTTCAAGATGGCGCAGTTTCTGCGGCAGAGCCAGCCGCTCTGGGAGAGATTTCAGCAGCAGGGGAGGCTGCCCAGTTAGGGGAGCCCGGTCCAGCAGTCTCCAACAATCTCCTTGAGTATAGCTATCGCTCACCCACAAATTTACACTTTTCATATGTCCACACACTCTCCTTTCGTTCTCTCACTCACACACTATCTTGCTGTCTGCCTTCCCATTGGCAACCATCTTCTTCTCCTGATTTGCTCTTCTTTTTCTATTTTATTAACCTGAAATCTTAAAGACATCTCTTCTTTCTTTATATAAGGCTTTAATTCTATAAATTTTCCTCTAAGCCAAATTTTAGCTGATATGCTGAGTTTTCATTTTCATTTAATTAAAACAATGCTTTAATTTACCTTGTGGCTTCAGAAAAGTTACATATTGCCTGCAAGTAGGGGCCTATATTCCAGAAGCCTGACCCATACATAAGGTAATCACACAGATGTGTTTCATATACTTGTACATGTCATAGTAAATTATAAACAGAATGAATTTCTTTGGAGAGTTTAACATACTGTTACAGTATAATTTTCAAAATGTTAAAAGCATAACACTTGTATAAATACTAGTGACCCAGTGCAAGGATTCATGCCCATTGACAGGAGATTAATTAGAAAGTGGCTGGCAGAGCAGGAGTGGGTGAGATGGGCTGGACATGCCCTGGAGCCAAACTCCTGTAGTCCCTCCTGGGCCAGCTGCACTTGGGGTGGTGCTGTGGCTCCAAGGGCATCTGTGGGATCCCTCTGGCCAGTGGGGTCCCTCAGCCTGGCCTGCAAGGATTGGGCCTAAACTGGCTCTCTGACATTCCCCTGAGGGGTCCACTCTGCAAAGTTGCTGTCATACAGGGTGTGGAACACAAATGCAAGTGTGAAGTAAACCAGATTCAGGGCCAACAGTGCCCCAGCAATAACATGTCCCACAGCCGAAGGTGGAATGGCATGGCCCCACGAGGAATCAGGCTCCCTCCTTTCTGGTTCCAGGGTGTATCACCTGAGAACTGCTGCTGCCAAGTCACCACAGCTCTGCAGCTCCTGTATTGAATGTCTGCCCCCTGGTGGTCAGTGTACATCATGCCTACTGACCAGTTGGACAGTCAGACAGTCACTTAGCCTTTTATATAGATAGATAGATAAGTTGAACACAAGTCAAAGATTTATTCAGATCATTAATGAAGAGACTCTAGACAGTAAAAAATGAGTCAAATAAAGACACATTCCACTAGACCAGGGGTGGGAAACCCCTGGCACACGTCCCAAACATACCCCCCAGTATCTTGTGTCCATTGGTTATGCTTATATGCATAAATACAAGTCTTTCGGTTGATCTCTTACCCATCCCCCCAACCTTCCCCGGCCTTCCCGCTGTAGTTTGACAGTCTGTTCGAGGCAGCTCTGCCTCTGTATCTATTTTTGTTCATCAGTTTATAATGGTCTTAATTATCCATAAATAAGTGAGATCATGTGGTATTTTTCTTTCATTGACTGGCTTATTTCACTTAGCATAATGCTCTCCAGTTCCATCCATGCTGTTGCAAATGGTAAGAATTCCTTCTGTTTTACAGCAGCATAG